TTCTTGAATCTGATGATACTGACAGCCTGAGGTTTCAGTTCACAAGGACGCGTACAAACCTTTTCCTCCAGTTCCGCCCACCTGGACTGGCGTCCCTGGAAGGTCACCTTGAATTCCAGGACAACCAGAAGCATGGTTTTGTGGTTAAGGCACTGGACTGAGACTCAGGTGATGAGAATTCAGTTCTTGGCACTGCTCCTGACTCTCCTTTGTGTCCTCAGGTGGGGTATTGAATCACTCCGCGCCTCGGGTCCCTTTCTGGTAAAGGGGGAGAGCACTGGTGCTCAGACTCGTGGTATTCAATGTTTTCATCCCAACACCACAAAACCTGAAATAATTAGGGCCTTCCAAAAAATTAGGCCACTATGTGGGGTGATGTAAAATCAGAACCCAGAGGAAACAAACAGGCAGCCACACATGGCCAAAGGCAGAATGACGGTTCCTAGGCCAGACTATGTTTGAAACTCCCAATCCTTAACTCCACCCCATTCTGAGCAATTTAATACTGAAAAGCACTGTGGACAATCACTTCCTCCTGGGGCTCGCATGGGCCTCCCTTGATGACAGACAGAGCAAGGGGAGGTCAGAGGGAGGGAAAAAGAAAGTAAGGGGAGGAAAGAAGAGCGGCTCAAACAACGGGATGACATTTTCACAAAACGTCCTCCCTTTTTATTGTCGTCAAAATTCAAAGTTTCAGTGAAAAATTCTGTCGCTGGTTCAAAACCTGCAAATATTTGACCAGCTCGAGAAGAGAGTTTAGTTATGAGCTGTACGACGGTAACAAACTCTATAGGAGAATCTAGGTAGAGCCAGCTAGATAGATAGATAGATAGATAGATAGATAGATAGATAGATAGATAGAAGAGGGGTGTATGGGATAGATAGATAGATAGATAGATAGATAGATAGATAGATAGATAGATAGATAGATAGAGGTGATGGGGATAGATAGAAAGAGGGGGTGATGGGGATAGATAGATAGATAGATAGATAGATAGATAGATAGATAGATAGATAGATAGATGGGGTGATGGGGAT